CAGCAGCTGCCAAAACATCCCCCCCTAACCAAGGCAAAGGGGAAGGATGATGCGGGGGGGGCAGAGCCCGGCACGCCGAGACGCGTGGCCCCAGCCAGGGCAGCGCTTTCGGGTCACATTCCTGCTCCCGCCCGAGCCAGGTGCTTCCAACAACAACAGAGCTGGTGGCTGGCGGGGCCGCGGCGGCCGCCGCTGGATTTCATGGCATTCCCGGGCTCCCGGCATTGCCAGGGGCAGGAAAGGGGGGGAGGGAATAAAGAAAGACTAATCAAGTGAAGCATGTCAGGCGGCGGGGGGCTCACCTCGGTGGGGAGGTAGGACAGGAAGGGGATGTCCATCTTCTCACACTGCGTCGTGAAGTCCTGGTACAGGGGGTCCGGGGAGCGTCTGGGGTAGAAGATGGTGGGTTCATAGTCCTGGGTGGCGGAGAGCAGGGATGAGATGGAGACCGGCATCGCTCGGGAATGAAGAGGAGCAGGGGAGGAAGATACCTACAAAGATCCGGAGGTGCCGGGCACACACCAGCCCGATGGCCCCGTTCTGCGCTGGGCCGCACACCACCAGCACCGTGGGCTGCTTCCGAGGTAGCGATGGCAGCGGGAAGGCCTGTGGGGATACAGCGACGTGGCACCGAGCCCCCCGGGTATGGCAACTGGTGCTGGGAATGTGGCAGAGGGATGTGCTGCTGGAGGGCAGCAGGGTGTGTGGTGGGGTGATGCCCGAGGTGGGATGGGGATGGCACCCAGGGCAGAACAATGCCAATACTGGGATGAAGATGATGCCCATGGTGGGATGCAGATGGTACCTATGGTGGCATGAGGATGATGTCCACGGTGAGATGAGGACGATGCTCATGGCGGGACAGGGCTCCCCGCCAGCCCACAGGGAGGTGGCCACAGCTCCACATCGCAGCAGCCTGTACAGGGAGACTCTGTTTATCCCCTGACAGCTTTTTTCCTGCTCCTGGAGCCTGGCTCCTGCTCCCAGCCCCTGGCGCTGCCCGCGGCTCTGGGGACGTGCCGGGAGAGGACGGCGCTGGGGATGCCCAGAGCTGGACTCGGGATGATAACAAGGAAGAGGAGGATGCTTGGGCCCATGAGGAGGATGCTCAGCTGGGGCTGGCAGTGGGGCTGTGGCTCAGGGGTGGGCAGCCCCATGCTGTGGGACCAGGACCAGCCCTGAGGCAGCCCCAAGATCCAGAGAGGCTCCAACAACCCAGATACTCCCTCTCAGGCAACTCCTCTGCCCTCAACGAAGGGGAGGGTGCAGCAGCTCCAGACACACGGAAAAGCTGAGGCAGGCGGGCGCGGAGCTCACTGGCCTCCGAGGCACAAAGCTGCCCTTGATGCTGCCTCCTCCACCTCCTCCTCCCGTCCAGCAGAAGCACGCAGCTCTCACAGCAACAGCAGAGCATTGCCGGTGCATGGGGAGCCCCAGGGATCCCCCAGCACCCTCCTTCCCATGGACACAATGTGACCCACAGCCCAAGGGAAATCATGAAGGGTGGGTGAGGAACGCAGATAAACCCACCCAGGGAGAGGCCAGAGCATCGCTTCTGCTGGCCACAAGCCCTGGCTGGCCCCTGGCCCCTGGTCTGGAGCAAGGGGAGACCACAGCCAGGGCTGGGAAAGGCAACGCAGAGGGATAGGACAAGGGGCAGTGAAGCCCCAGCCCCATTGGGGTGACCGTGGCCCTGGTGGGGTGTCCCTGCCCCGGTGGCTGCCTCACCTTGGTCACAGCCATGGCACAGGCATGTCCCCAGATCTCGATGAGCTGCTGCCGCCCAAACCGATAATCCTCCAGCAGCTCCTTTTCGATGGCCTCAGCCTCAGCCTTGCTGCAGAGGGAGCAGACAGCGGTGAGGACAGGGACAGGGATGTCCCCCATCTCCCAGCACTGGGACCCTACTTCGTCTCTATGGTGTGGAGCAGGGGATGCTTGGAAACACCAGGGGCCGGTGGGTGCAGGGGGGTCCAGGGGCTGTGTTTCATGCGAGGCACCAGCCCTGGCAGCGGCCCCAGCTCGTGGCGGTGGGGCTGTTCCAGGAGGCAGAACAATGCTGTGGTTGTTCCTGCAGCCGAGCCCGGCACTGGCAGCGCCCGGAGCCTCCACATCGGGCAGTAATCGCTCCCATGTGTTGGCTCACCTGCGGCGAGAACAGCGTGTGCCGGGGCCCAGCTGCAGGGTGGCCCCTGAGATCCACTGGCCCCTGGTTGCTCCAGGCCCTATTCCCGCCTGTCCTGGCTGATCCCAGCCCACCATCCCCTGGCCTGGACAAGCCCCGTTCTGTTGAGGCCTATGCACTCCAGAGATCCCATAGACCCAACCGAGCCCATCCCCTGGCCTTACTGACAGAGCCCAATGACCATCATCCTGGCAGACCCCCTCATCCTGCCCCATCCCATACAATCTTTTCCCATCCCATCCATCCTATCCTACTCTTATCTCATTCAATCTATCCCATTGCTATTCTTTCCCATCCATCCTATCCTTTCCCATCATATCCTATCTAATCCCACCCTTCCCCATGTCATCCTGCCCTCATCCATCCCATTCTTTCCCATCCCACCAATTCTATTCTGTCCTATCCTATCCTATCCTATCCCATCCTATCCTATGTTTTCCCATTCCATCATATACTTTCCCATCCTACCTTATCACATCCATCCCATCTTTTCCCATTCCATCCTATCATTTTCCATCCTACCCTATCCCATCCCATGCTATTCCATCTTATTCATCCTACACTATCCCATCCCACCCCATCCAATCCTTTCCCATCCTACCCTATAGCATCCATCCCATCCTATCCTTTCCCACCTCATCCTCTCCTTTCCCATCCTGTCTAGCCCATCCTACACTGTCCCATCTTATCCTTCCCCATCCCATCCTGTCCCCAGTCCTTTGGTGCCCTCTAGTGAGCCCCAGCCCAGCTCCACAGCAGAGTCCTGGGGGCAAACGGGGGGAAAAGAGGCCAAATGCAGCCGGGGCCAGGCCTGGCGCAGCCCCGCGCAGCTGTGTTGTACCCAACAACAGGCACGTTCCGGTCCTGACAGAATTCCCTGTTCCAGGAGGGAGAACATTGCCCGTAATCGCTGCTGGCAGGAGACCCTGGGCCCGGGCCCGGGCTGGCTCCCGTTGTCCTGGCACCGGCCCCGCCGGGGGGGGGGACGTGTCACAGGGCTCCGGGTCCTGGCTCTTCCCTGCAGCGCTGCGGGTGCCCGTTCACTGCTCCCCGGGGCTGGGGATGTGCTGGGGAGGAAATGCTGCTCCTGCCCCTGCGCAGGGGTGGGCGCCCCTCGGAGCCCGCGGGGACCCAGCAAAGCCCAGGTCAGCCCAGTTCAACCCAGTTCCCGGTGCCTCCTGGGCGGGACGGGGGGCGGCTGTGCCGTGCTAAGGGACAGAGGGAGCAGGAGGCAGAGGAGCCGCCGGATGAGGGGATCGAGGGCACCCTCCGTGTCCCTTCCTGCCTCTCGGCTCCACACCCTTGCTCTGTCTCCCCTCTGCAGCCCAGTTCTGCACTCCAGCTCCACAGCCCAGCTCTGTGTCCCCCTTGCATCCCAGCTTCACATCCCAGCTTCACATCCCAGGTCTGCATCCCAGCTCCGTGTCCTCCCTCTGCGCCCCAATTCCGTGTCCTCCCTCCACATCCCGGCCCCCGCCCAGGTACAAGCAGAGGGACACTGGAGGCACCAGCCCTGCCCGGGACCGGGATCCCCCCGCTCCGCTCCCAGTGCTGCCAGAGACATCCCCGCCGCAGCCATGGAGACCCGGGATGCGGTTGCTCTGGCAACGGGTCTATTTGGGTACCAGCCCCCCCCCCCCCCCTCCCCGTCCGCCCCCGGGGGTGCGGGAAACCGGGATGGGGCTTTCCCGAGGGATCGGGTGTCCCGGGAAACACGCGTGGGGCCAGAGCCTCCGCATCCCAGCACGGAGGAGCCGACCCCGGGGGGAGGGTCCGGCCCCGCCACCGGGGCCGCGGGAGCCTCCAGCACCCGCCCGGGGTCCCCACAACGTCCCGCGGGACCCGGAACCGGCCATGTCCCTGCGGGCAGCTGGGACCTGCTCCGGGAACGGCGGCTGAGGGGGTCCCGGCTGTGCACCGGTGCGGGCGCACGGTGATGGGCACAGGCGCGACGTGACCCAGTGCCCCCCAGCCCCCCGGGACTCCCGGTGCTCCCAACGCGCGGCCCGGGGGGGCTCCGGGGGGGCCGGGCTCACCTCAGGTACCGGGGAGGCTCCCGGGCAGGACCGGGCGCGGAGCTCATCGCGGGCAGCAGGTCCGGGCAGCGGCGGAGCCCTGCGGGAGCGGCGGCAGCAGCGGCTCGACCACCGGGCAGCCCCCCCCGCTCTCGGCGGTGCCGCCCGGGGGAGGTGGCTCCGGCTGCCCCCGCCCCGCGCGGCCCCGCTCCCCGGAGCACCGAGCATCGCCCCGGCCCCCGCCCGCGGGCGGAGCCGCAGCCGACGGGTGGGTGGAGGGCGGCAACCTCGGCTCTGACCCCCCCCCCCCCCCCCCGCCCCTCCCCTCCCCGAGCAACAGGAAAGCGCCAAAGACCCAAAATCGGGGGTTTTCACCCCAGTGGAAGCCGCATCTGCAGCATCAGTGACCGCGGGGCTACCTCCGCCGAACCTCTCCCAGACCCGGAGACCCCCCCTAAACCCGAGCCCCCACCACCAGACCCTGGTAGTGACTGTGAGGGACAAGTCCCTATGGAGCGCACAGCAGATACCGGCCCCTTTGGCACCCAGAACACGTGGCTCATCCCACACTCCCATCCTGATCCAGGGCTCCAGGACCCTACCCCCGGCCATGTGGGAGCAGGGAAGAGCCTCAAGCACCCTCAGAACAGCCAAGTGTCCCACTGGGAAGGACACGGATCTGGACAGGAACACGAATGACACAGGGTTCGACTCAGCCATGTGGTTTTAATAACAGGAGCCGGTGGCACCGGGGGGGGGGGTGTGACAGCACCCGGAGGAGTGACGGCACCCAGGGGGGGTGACGGCACCCAGGGGGGGTGACACGGCCGTGCCTCACACGTAGTACTGGAGCCCGAACTTCTCGTTCTCCACCTCACTGGTGGGGCGCAGGTAGTAGAGCTCGTCCAGTGTCGGGGGCACCCAGCGATCCGTGTGGAACAGGGACTCACCGACCTGGACAGGGAGGGAGCGCTGTGGCCACTGGCACCGTGACCCCCGCTCCAGGGGACACACGTTCTGCTCGGAGCTTTCCAGGAGCTCTGTCACGGACCCGGCTCCACCGGGAAGGCTGGATCCTGCTCCGGTGCGAGGAGCTGCTGTGCCAGGAATCACCCCACCGCCCCCCTCCGCAGCGCCGGAGCCACAAACCTTCCAGCCAGGAACATCCTTCATGATTTTGGCCTCCTCGTCCAGGTTCTGCCGCAGGATGCGGAGCGTTCTGCGGGACAGGGCGAGGCTGAGCGCGGGGAGCGGCGCTGCAGCGGCCCCCGGTGCCCCCCGTGGCCCCCCAGCCCGGTACCTGCGGTCAGACTCCGCCTGCAGCAGCGGCATCAGCGCGATCCGAGCCTCCAGGTCCTCGATGAGGAGCCGCCTGCGCCGGGACAGACCGGGGGGGGGTCAGAGCTCAGCGGGGACGGGGCAGGGAACCGGAGCACAGCCCCGGGGGGGGGGGGTGTGTGTGTCACGGGAGAACCGGGGGGGGGGGGGGGGGCACCTGCGCTCCCGGTTCCACTTGACGACGGTGTAATAGCCCAGCAGGAGGCTGCCGACGCCGAGCGCGAAGAGGCTGTAACCTGCGGGGGGAGCGGTGAGGGGCACCGGGGGGCACCGGGAGACCCCCCCCCGCCCAGCCCCGGCTCCCACCTGAGAGGCCGCGGCGAGGGAGGTGCCGCTTGTAGTCGATGGGCCCGTAGCCGCCCGGCGGCGCCATGTCCTGCTTCACCTTCGGCGCCGCCATCACGACGGCCGCGCAGCGTCACTTCCGCCGCGCTGCGGGAAGCGGCCTGAGGAGACACACACATACCCTCCCCCCTCCGCCCGCCTTAAAGGGGCAACGCCAAGCGGCGGGGGGGTGGCGGGCCCCACCGCAGCAGTAAGGGTGCACGGGGAGAGCAGTATGCGCTGCCTGGTGCGTGCTAAATGCGTGCACCCCGCAGGCACCTTGCAGCAAAACCTGCGGGTGCAAGCGCGCAGCAGCAACGGGGCATCCCCAGCGCAGCCACGGGCACGCACACGATTCTAAGTGAGCGCTGAAGAGCGGGCACCCGCGCCGGGAGCGCGGAGGAAGCGGCGCAGGGAGCGCGCAGCCCCGGGCACGCACGCAGCAGCCAGTGTGCGGCAGCGAGCGGGCAGCCGGCAGCCAGCCTGCACCCCCCGAGAGGCCTTCGGTCACTTCAGATCAAGGTCACTCATGTCTAAACTCTAATCGGTGCCCGTAATCCCTCGGCTGCTGCGGGGAGTTAATGCCAATGCAGATGGTGCGGCTGAGGCTGCGGGGTGGGGGGAAAGGGCACCCCTGGAGGGGACACTCGGGGTCCCACTCCCCGAGGGATGGGGGAAGGAACCGGGGCAGGACGAGAGGGACACGGGGTTAACGATGGCTTCCTTGAACCAGCCTCTTCCATCAGGGCATTCCCGCAGGATGAGGCTGGGCTGAGGGCAGAGGTGCACCCGCTCGTGAGTCAGGCTGGGGCATTTGAATGAACTTTTGGAATGATGTGAAGTATTCCAGGAGTATTGCAGTTGCTGAAACTCGTGTCTCGTTTCTACCCGGAGAACGCCCCATATCTGCATCCATACAGCAGCTCTGAGGATGTTTTAATCCGCTTGTGGCTTCTCATTCCAGTCCATGAAATCCCACACGTCTTCTCCTTCCTTTGCCGTTCTTCCCAGCAACGTGGTTTGGGCAGGGGGAAGAGCCTGGCCTCAGCTGGAGGAAAGGAGAGCACCAACACCGTCACCAAGAGGGCGATCCACCAGCATCAAGAACCAAGACACATTTCAAACCCAGCAGCCTCAAAGTAAGAGGCAGAACCTCTGCTTTGTCCATTTATTATTATGCAGCCCAAGGTCCCCGTTTTCCATCTCAACTGGGCTTGGGTACGTTGGGTTTCTCCCTGAGAAAACCAGGTCTGGGAATGCAAAGGTTCCCTAAAAGGATGATAAAAAGAGCTGTAGGAAAACAACCTGACACTAAATTATGTTGCATTTAAGGATAACCAAGAGTCTTCTTTGTTACAGCTGGAATATGATGAACAGGAATCCCTGGAAGACAAAAAGGTGCCAAATCACCCTGTGTGCAAAACTGGCAATGCCCAAGTCAGCTGCTGAGCAGCAAAGGCTCAAGCAGGCCACTCGCTTCTGAGCGCAGGGCTGTCACTGTGCCACCCCTCAGCAAGCAAACTGATAGGACTAGATTAGCAAATGAAACAAAACCACACAGCTCCCAAAGTTGCAACACGGGTTTCAAATGAAAATCCGGGGTTTTATTTCACAAGTTGCTAAATCTAAGTACAATAAGTCATTTTCATTATTACTGTATTATAAAATCTTGTCATCGCAAGGTCTCCCAAGAAAGGTTATATGGCTTGCAAAGAACCAACGCTGCTCTAACCCTCTCCCCAGGAGAGGGGGGAAGCAAGCAGCATCCGAGCAATGTCAAACCAGCTCATGCAGCAGTTTGCAGCGAGCAGTGGAGGGCTGGGAACACGGGACACACCGGCTCTCCCAGCCGAGTGATGCCAGGGATGGGCCGGGACTGCAGAGCGGCTCCCTCAGGCTCGTGTTCGGAAGGAGCTGGAAGGTTTTTGTCTCTTCCAGGAGAGGAGGTGGCTTTGGGATGCTCTGCAGCAGAGCCACTGAGAGCCCTTACGGAGGCAGGGATCCCCAAACAGAACAGCAGGAGAAATAAAGCAAAGATCCGGTTTTCAAAGCATGTCTAACACCACCCCCCCACCCCCCACCCCCCCTTCACAATTCCCAAACAATGGAACCTTTAGGGCATAATACCATAATGTGAATATTCTGATCGAGCTTTTCTACCTATTGGTTGGGTTCTGCAGCTGGGTTTTGGTTTTGTCAGGTGGGGAGGAAGAGATTTGGAAAGACTCAGAGGTGTTTGAACAACATCTAAACCTAAAGTGGTACCTCGAGGAGCCCAGTCCAACACCATCAACTGAACCCACAGCTTCGACTACAAGGAAGAAACAATTCTGGCATTTAACACATTTTTACCACTTCAATCTTTTCCTGGTGCATTTATCTGGAACTTGGCAGAACAGAGACGCAATAAATAGATCCTTCCACGTTACCTGCACCATGTCAAAACAGTTGGAATCCCAACAGCCCAATATCTATGTTAGCTTCACAAAGCCTTCAAAAGAATTCTACCCCGATACATCAAATAGTATTTGCAGGGGTTTATGCTACATGAAACCAAACCAGATTGCTCCTTCGAAGCACAGGGTTTTGAAGTCAGTACATGCAGCCCCAGTTTCAGTTCCAAATCTTAAAATAGGAAGTTTTCTCCATTAGATTAAGGCTTAGTTTGTATCTCCTCTCTTCAACGCATATGAGTGGATACTCCCCTCTTAAATGGATATTCAAATTAAAATGTATAAGGTGCTGGACTGAACTGGTGGGATCCAGAAAGGTTCTGACACAGCTTTTAGAACAGACAAGCTCAATATTTCTGCCCATCATTTCAGCCCCCTTATTCCCAGCTGAAGCTACTCCAACAGCAGAAAGCAAGAGTGAAGTTGTCCAAGGCTTCCCCAGGCAGCTTCTGGGTTTTAGTTTGAGAAGTTCAGCTTGTTCTTTATGAGCAAGTGCACTCTCCCAAGTGCTGAGATAACGCAGCAGCTTGTCAGAAGAGAGCACAGGAAAGAAACCAGCCCCAGCCCCCTCCTCCCAGGTGAGGAACTGAAATGTTTTCCTACTATTTCAAAGGTGGAAAAAATCAAATGCACTCAAATCTCTTCACTCCACATCTCCCGATCCAAAACATCTTGTAATGAAAAGGAAAATCAAAACCTCAAACCATATCCTCTCACCCCCATTTAGCTCTTCCTATACCTGTGTCGAGCAAACAAAAAACAAAGTCAAATTGAAATTCCAGGGCTTTTTTTTTTCCTTTTTTTATACAGCAACAAATACCATTTTGCAAAACTAGTCTTCTACTCTACTGAACAGTTTCCAAAGTATCTAAATACTGATATTCACACAACAGAAGAGGGGTGAAAATGAACGGGTTTGCTCTTTCACTATGCAAAGGTTAGATCTGAAGGGGGACATCCCTAAACAGTTCTTGGTTTCAAGTGAGATCTAACAGCAACTGCTAAGAAAATAGATTCAGCATAGACTGAATAGTAACCCCTCCCCCCTTTTCTTTTTATATATAGATATATAGATATATATATATAATTTTGCAAATAATTCTTATCAGCACTACTTCTAGCACTGATATGCAACATAAGTAGTAAGGCATGTATCTCTGCCACTTGAATTCAACTGGGATTTGGGAGAAGCACAGGGAAGAAGGAGGGAAGATGATGAGAAGGAAGAAAAAGAAATCAAACAAAACTGGACCTGAAGGATTTGGGTTTAACCTGTGGAATCCCCAGAAGGTACGAAACCATGTAGAAACCTGTCCTTAAGGTTACCTAAAGCTCTAGCCAAAGTGAAGTACTGAAGGGATGACAGCGGAGCATGCTTGGAACACCTGGAAGGACACAGCTCGAGAGGGATCAAGGTCCAGCCCCCAACATCCTGGCACAGGCTGGGAACAGCTTCTCCATGGGAATGGGCAGAAGAAGGAGCAGCTCCCGGCCCTCAGCTCCCCCTGCTTGTCCTGGCTGATTGCAGCTTCTGGAATTCTTATTCTTTTTTTTTTTTTTTGATTTTTTTCTTTCCCCCTCCCCACCCCCCCTTTTTTTTTTTGAGTAAAATTGCTCAAAACAATAAACAACAACAACAAAAAATAACCTTCCAGAAAGAAAATAATCCCAAACAGTCCCGCTCTGAAGTCTCTGGGAGCATCTGAAAGGCCCAACTGCTCTTCGCTGAATTACAAAGACTGAACAAAAAGGTGTTTGTCTATTGAGGAAATTAGATTTTTAGACTACCAACAGTTCAAAAAGTCTATTCCAAACAGAATCCAACAAAAGTGAGAGACTCCTGCACTGCTTCCCACTGACCTGACAAGTTTTGGTGGCAGCCAGTCCCTTAGGAAAAGAAAAAAACAACCCAAAACCATACTCGACTGGAACTGGAGTTTGCACTTATTTATCATTAGCTCATCATCAGAAGATTTGGAAACATTATAATCTGTCAACTGCCTTCCTGGCTGGAAAGGGGCAGGGAAGAAAAGCAAACATGAACTAAATGCATCTGCAAGATGGGGTTGAGATTCCTCTCTCCTTGAGCTGAGATCTTCGAACACCGTGTTCCTGGTGACTGGGTGGTTATGAATAAAGAAAACGAAGGCAGAGAGTCGAGTCCTCCTTTTGTGCTGGTGACAAAGGAATCCAAACTGAAGACAGAAAGCCAAAAAAACTGAGAGAGAGAATTCTTCCCCTTCCCTGACAGCCTTCATCATCAGTCAATGCTCAGAATCTGAGAACCAAATGAGCTCAGGTCTTTCCCACCCACATGGTGTTGTCTTCTCATTGCAGGGACAGCAGCACTCGATGGGATGAGGAGTGGCTTCTTGCATCCTATAAGCCTGGGGCATATCCAGCTGGGATTAAAGCAGATTCCACTGTAATGTGGTATAAAAAGGATGGCAGAAACAGGAAAGTCTTCCTCTTGGGCATTCCTCTGCATTATTTCCACGTGGCGGACTGTGGGATGGACCGTGGGGGAATCATATCCAGGAGATATTCACGCTGCGGTCTACTGCTGAGGAGGACTTGTGCACAGCTAAACTAGGGTTAACGAAAGGTAAAGCCCCACCTGATGAGACACAAAAGGGGAGAGAGAACAAGTGTCACAGCATGATAC